TTTGGTACTGGGGATCAAACTCAGGACCTTGTGCTTTCGAGGCAGGCAGCAGAACCACTGAGCTAAATCCCCAGCCCAAGGACAGATATTATTTGACATATTACTGGCATGCCAGTGAAGAGGTAAACCTGAGATTGCTGCTGTAAAATTTAGAACTTTCCATATCTCCAGTTGGTGATCAAGACAGTGCAGAGGTGCTTGATGTGGAGGGTCGCCAGAGGGTGTGTGACCAGAGTGCAGGCCACTGGGCAGGTTATACCCTGTGATTAAGTGCCGCCAACAGCACTTAAAGGACATTCCTGCAAAGTCAAAACACGTAGGAAAGGGCTCCTTCCTTACGACAATGGTTTCCAGCTCATGGGACACATTCCCATGGACACAGTGTTCAGACTCTAGCATTTACTGTGGTGAATGGCGCCCTCCTCTGACAGCCAGAAAGCTGTTCTACACAAGCGCATATGGTGGCCCTTTGGCCAATCATGAATGTGGTGTCTGACGAAGCTCTCCTTTTCAGGTATCAGCCACTAGGATGTGGATACTCTGGGCCCTGGCCATCACGCTGGCCACTCAAGCTGGAGCACTTGACGTGCTAGAACCACCCACAGTAGGAAGCCTTCCTTCCACGCTATCCTCTGTGCAACATGTGGAACCTCTCCCTCTTCCCCTGACATCCAGCCAGGCTTTCAAAAGTCCCCCAACCCAAAAAAGCTCCCCATTCAGCAGAAAGTCACCTAAGACCCCAGAAGGCCAGTGTGCACCTGCCTCCGAGTACTTCCTGTCTGCTGAGAAGTTCGACGAGTGTAAGTAAGAACGGCTAACACCCCTAACATCCTAACACCCCTGCACAGGCTTCTCATTTCTAACCCAAAGGGGCTAGTCTCATCTTCAGAACAAGTGGTTACCAGACATGAGGAGGCCCCAGGATGCCTTGGGAGCTGGTAGAGAGCAGGGATGTCTGGGTCCCAATCCTGGACTGAGAGTACAGGAACTTGGGAACTGAAGTCTTGACAAAGAAGTGACTCCATGTGGGAAACTAGAACAGGGAAGGATTCATTGACAATCAAAGACCAGCAGAAAAGCCCTCATAGCTCACTCATCAGTAGTCTATAGCCATGGCCTAGAACAGGATGGCAGAAGGGAACGCAGGACATGCTGAGTGACCAGGGGCCAGCCCAGCATATCCATTACACACCACTGTGCCTCTTGAGGAACATGTGATCAACTGTTACCACCATCCTTCCTTGTTATGAAACTCTTCCAATGTAGGAAAGGTTCAGACTAGGATAAAAAGAACACCTGTGTACATATCATGCAGTAATTTGGTGATGGTGGCTGTTCATTTCTCTTCCAGACATTTAGAAAAATGTTAAAGGATAAAGAGAGCAAATCCTCATGACCCAGCACAGATTAAGGAATAAACCTGGCTGTGGGGCTGAGGCCCTCCACTCCCAGACTGCATCATCTTTCTTCTCTGCCCCTTTGACCCACCCAGAGGAGATAGGTACAGCTAGAGCTAGAGCTAGAGACAGAGCTAGAGACAGAGACATACAAATATACCAACAGGCACGGATTTTGGGGTGTGGTTGTTGTTGTTTGGTGATACTAGGGATCAAACCCAGGGCTTTGTGCATGTAAGATACATGCTATGCCACTGAGCTACACTCCCAGCCCCATCATGTGAATATCCTCATCAATATAAGAGATTGGGGCTGGGGATTTAGTTCAGTGGCACTGCGCCTGCCTCGAAAGCGCAAGGTCCTGAGTTCGATCCCCAGTACCACACACAAAAATACATACATATATATATATATACACACACACATATGTATATGTATATACATGTATGTATATGTGTGTATGTATATGTATATGTATGTATATGTATATGTATGTATATGAGATTGTACTACATATTCTAAAGTTTCCAGGATAGGTAGGCTGCTTGTCCCTCACATGTATGTTTGGGAGGTAATTCATCCATGTTTTAATGAGAAAGTCCTCCCATTCATTTTCAAAACTCTGTTCTACAAGATGAATCCTCCATGGTTTAGGTATCTATCCAATCATGGGTTCGCTCCAATTTTCTGCTATTCCAAGCAATGCTGCTCTGAATCCAACACATATTCTAGTGAAGACTTTCTGATGTGTGTGTCTCTGGCATATGTTTGAGATTGAGATGTGACCACACCACCACCCCACATAGGCAGACTCTCGGCAGGGTGGAGTTCTCAGCAAGGGAAGCAGCACTAAGGCTGCTGAGGCCATAGCCCACATGGCTCCACGAGAGCTGCTGTTAGGGGACCTCCTGCAACTGCTACTCAGCTGGGCAATAAATGCAATCCCTCTCTCCAATGCACTTTAGCCCCAAGGCCAGCAAGGCTGACCATCATCAGACTTCATAGCTCTTTTCCTCCATAGAACCCTGGTGACATGGCAGCTCTCTTAAACTGAGGGCTGCCCTCTGTCCCTTCCCACAAGCACCTGGGATTCCACCTCTCCCTGCCAGACATAGCCAGAGGGAGGGGAACATGATTAGCACCCATTCTAGCCAGAAGGATCAATGAGCAGGAGAATGTAAGCTCATGATGGGGAGATTGTCTTGTAGCAGCTTGTCCAGGTGACAGCACTTCCTAGTGACCCACAAGGAGAAAATGAGGCCCAGAGAGGGAAGGGACTTAGGCGGTGTCCCAAAGATGGAAAAGGAAAGGGTCCAGATCTGTCAGTTCCATGACCATCTCCCCAACCGCCTTCTACTTTACACAGCACTTACAATCCACCATCATCTCATTCACTCTCCACCTGCAGCCCATGCAGCAGTTCCCACTATTAGCTCCTGGACAGGTCCAAAGACTGGGCTGCAAGACTGTAAAGACCCTGGCCTAGGCTACTCAGCCTCTGAGGGGTAGGGCCAACACTGTGCCCTAGTCTGCAAGGCTCAAAACTCAATCTAGGTTCCTTCACAGCATGCTCAAATCACTTTAGATGCGACATGATCAACATCAGGCTGGCCTCAGTGTAGGTACAAATGTGAGCTCTTAACAAAGGGACGTAGGGCTGGGGATTTGGCTCAGTGGTTCCGGCGCCTGCCTTGCAAGCAAAAGGTAGCGAGTTCAATCCCCAGTACCAAACAAACAAACAAAGGGACACAAGGCCACACTTGGGGTGTGCAATAGCAGGGTGGATCTTTCTAGAAGGCACAATACACAGGTCCTATGTGCCTCACAATTTAAAAGTGCCAGCTCCCCCTGCTGGCTGAACTGAGTAGGCAGCAGACAGCAGGAACTTGTCTCTTGGCTTTTTCAGATCTGAATGCCACTGTACCCCCGGAGATTGAGAAGCTGGTGAAGTGCAAGGAAGTTAACATAGTCGGAGTGCTTGGGCAAGTGTTAGACACAGTGGGAAACGCCGGCGTGCTCGATATGCTAGACATCACTTCGCTCCTAGAAATGGGAGATGGCGGCATTGGTGGTATCCTAGGCATGAACAGCAAGGGTGACAAGTCTCCAAAGCTCCCATCCCTCTCCAAAGTTGGTGAAACTGCTGATAAGCTGGGTGTGGGCAGCCTGCTGTCCTCTGGAGCGGGCCAAAGCCCTGTAAAAGGGCTCCTTGAAGGTGCTGAACTCCCTGAACTCCAGACCCTGAATGACGTGGCTGGAAGCGCTAAGAGCCTCAAAGATTCCGCCGTGAGCAAGGTGAAGGATGTCCTGCCAGCAGAAACCACCAAAGCACTCAAAGGTGCACTGGAAAACCTTGACATAAAAGATTTATTGCTGCAGTAAGTGCTTCCTTGACATTGAGGTTTTCCATACCAAAAAATCTGCTTATTTAGGACACTCAAATTCAAACTCCCACAATCCCAAAGAAAGCATCAATCACCCTTTCACAAAACAATATACTGTGCCCTCTCGGGGGGAAATACTGTAAAGTTGTTTTTTTTTTCTTCAGTGCTGGAGATTAAACCCAGGGCCTTCACATGAGCTACATTCCCAGTCCATTTTTATTTTATTTATTTTTGAGACAGGGTCCCACTAAATCACAAAGTGGGTAACTTTGTTGGGCTCAAATTTTAGATCTTCCTGTTTCCTATAGTGCTGGAATTATAGCATGTGCCACCACACCCAGCAATCCATTAAAACAAGTTTAAAATTATCATGATGGGACATGCCTGTAATCCCAGCATTTAGGAGGCTGAGGCAGAAGGATCGCCATGGGTTTGAGGCCAGCCTGGGCTATATAGTGAATTCAAGCCCAATCTGAACTACAAAGTAATACCTTGTCTTAAAAAAATAATAATAATAATAATATATATATATATACACACACACACACACATACATATATATGTATATATACATACATATGTATATAAAGATTTCTTGAGCTTAAAGAACTGGATGGGTAAGTGAAGTAAGGGATCAAAGGAATGGATGGTGTGGTGGCTTGGTAGGTTTAACTAGCTGTTTCAAAGGTATTTCTCCCACCGTCCAGGCTGATTTCTTGAGCCAGAACTGACTCTTGATGCTGCTACTTTGCAGATTAGAAGTTCAATCCGTGGATATAGAGGAGATAAATTCAACTGTAACAGACGATGGGATCGATGTCGAGGCCATAGCTACTGCTACCGTGGGTGGAAAAGGGTAAGTCTATTTTCAAAACAGTCCACTGGATCACCCAGGACTGGGGCTATAAGATCCAATGACCTGGGCCGGGGTTTTAGCTCAGTGGTTTCGCTTCCTGCTGCGCAAGCGCAAGGACCCAAGTTCGATCCCTGGTGCCAAAAAAAAAAAAAAGATCCAATGCCCAAGAGCTAGGTTAAGAGGACAAAGAGCATAGCTGCATGGGGGAGGGGCAGGCTACCATACATAGCTTTCCCCACCAGCCCCCAGCCCCACCCTTCCCCAGCCTAAGGCTAGAGAAAGGCCCTGGAGAGCTTTGTCCTCCAATAGTGCTTTTTTGGGGGGGTGGTACCAGGGATCTCACTCAGGACCTTGTGCTTGCCAGGCAGGTGTGGTGCCACTGAGTTAAATCCCTGGCCCTGTCCTCCAATAGTGTAAGCAAATCTGCACAAGCTCATACGTGGGTAATGAGGGCAGAAACCACAGAGAACACATCCCATTGTGGCATCTACGTAGGCCTTATGTGAAATGTACTTTCCACATGCTCTGGGATCCATGGAGAAATCAGCCCATTCAGCACAAGCACTGTTCTAGTGGGTTGAGGAAACAGAGATGACTTAAACGGCCTCAGAGAGTTACAAATTTAAACATTCCTGTATGCATTCATCCATCTGATGTGTAGTTAAGAAACATCACCCTGGGACAGATGCCATACTGGGCCCAAAGGAAAGACTAAAGGTGGTCTCTGTCCTCAGGAGACATAAACGTGAGGGAGGAATGTGTTAACAGTGTAAGCTGTAAGCACATGGGAAGACAACAAAGGGATAGAGCTTCCCCACTGGGGAGAGATCATTCTATGGACTAAGACATGCAGCACTGATACCTCTCATTGTCCTGGCACATACCAGGCACCTAACAAGCTAGGACTTCATAAAAGCCTCTCCACAACCTTATCAGAAAAGCAGTCCTGTTTCCAGACCGGAAACCACTGCAGACTGGGAAAGGCAATTACCTTTACTCATAGTCACACAGCTGAAACACAGAAGTGACAGGGTTTGTTTGAATCCAGGCAGGCTGCCTTCAGACTCAACGTCTCAACACTACCGTTCACGGTGTCAGGAGGAGTCACTGGTCTTCTCCAAAACCTCCCACTTTAAGATAAGCTCTGCTCCCTGGTGGGCTTCTCATTCTGTTGCTCACACAACAGCCTGAGTGCTTGGCATGAAAGTGAACCTGTAACAGACGGCTTTGTACCATCAACAGATGACCTCCCAGAGGTTGGTTAGCTTAGTGATTTCCATCAAATGTTTATTGGCTGTCAACTATGAGCCCACCTCCAGGCTCTTAGGGCCACAATAGCCAGCCTTAGGCCCTGAGGACTAGAAGGACCAGCTGTTCCTTCTCTCCAATTAACAAATATGTTAATTATCAAATGTGTGAGGCTGATCTCCAAAATACTTAACACTTGGCCTGTGCCTCACCTTGAAGCCAGGCCCAGTTTCACCTGTATCTTGCTCTCCACAGTGTGGCTGGACCCGTGATCACTGTGGTGGGATTTCAAGTGCTCTTGGGTGTAACTCTGAAAGTTGCTGTTTCTACAAACAACACCCAATGCGTCAACCTTGATATCGAGGAAACAAATATCAGTGCCAACCAAGTGACCCTTCGGATATTAGAGACGTAAGACCATTTTTCTCATTTTCTGGATTCAGTGGTCTTTGTGGCAGTATGTCCTGCTGTTACCACCCTCAGAGATGAGCTGGTCTAATGCAATGGTTTCAACATGGGCCCAGTGAAGGGTCTGCTTAGAAAAGCCCCCACTGTATTTGAGAATAACATTTTCTCACACACCCTGCATTCTGCCTGCTAACTGTACTGCAGTTTTTTGGTTTTTTTATTTTTTGCATAAGCAATACATTCACCCTGGTTTAAGAAAAAAAAAAAGCCCATATAGTAAAAAGTCTCTCCCAGCCACACCTGCCAACTGGCTAGTTATTCTCCCTGAAAGCAACTAATGGATCCAGGCTTTTCTGAACTTTGTTTCACATTAAAAAAATATATACAATCCCCGGTACTAAAAATATATATATGGCTAGGGGCCGGGGATTTAGTTCAGTGGTTCTGCCACCTATCTCACAAGTGTTAGGTCCCGAGTTCCATCCCCAGTACAAAAATACACACACACACACATATATCAGAAAAAAATCTGGGAGTATATTTCATCAAGTATATGAACAACTTCATTCTTTATTACTCCCCAGTATTCCCTCGTGAATATGCACTATATCTTATTCAACCAATCCTTTGTCAGTTATTAATTTTGTACCTAACCACAATGAACAAGGTTGCAGACAAGTCTGCCTAGCAGCAAGCACAAGTATCTGAAGGACGAACTTCTCCAGGTGGGGTTGCTGGACAGACACCTGTGCTTTGGTCATTTTGTCAGGTATCTTTGCATCTTCCTTAAGGGGTAATAATGAAGATGAAAAGCCTCAGGTGTGCACCCAGGTTAAGCAGAAAAACATCTTAGGGCTCTTTCAGAATGGGTCAGTTTGCCCAGTGTTTAGGCAAACCTAGAAACTCTAGGGCCAGGGATATAGCTCAGTGGCACAGCACCTGCCTGGCAAGTGCAAGGTCCTGAGTTTGATCCCCAGTACAAAAAAAATAAATAAATAAAATAAATAGAAACACTAGAATCATGCTGTTTTGCACATGCATCTTTCCTAGAGTCACAAACACTGCGGTTCTTCCTGTGTCTCTGCCCTTGAAGGACATCGTCCCTAAAGTGTTGTCAGTAGAGTTACAGAAGAACGTAAGTCCTGGGAAAGAGAAGGCTACCATCACTAGAGAAATAGGAGGGCCCTTGGAGGCCCCCGTCACTGGAGAAAGACAAGGAGGAGCCCTTGCTTCAGAAAGGGCCTGATGCTAGGAGAGACTCAGAAACACAGCATCGGGCCCTCTGGAGTCCCCACACTAGGGGACCTGCAGCCCCTCTGGCCCAACTTTCCCAGTAGCAGGACTGACAATGTCTCAGGCTGGGGGGAGGGACAGATGACTTTTGCCAAAAAGGAGCCCAAGAAAATAAGACAGACGAGAGGGAAAAGACAAGGAGAAAAGGATGATGGGCTAAAGAGAACAGGCTAACTGGACTTCCTTGGCAAAGCTAACAGATGATAACTTCATAGGTTGACAACTCAGAGTCCTGTGGCATTGTCTTCAGTGATTTCAACAAGTGCAAAAACTGTGAGTACAAACAACCACCTTGGGGAAGCTCACATCAGTGGAAAGACAGCCATCACTCCTTAAGGCAGACCACTGAGTGGTGGACCTGAGAGCAGAGAGCAGGGCTGAGACACCATGTCCCACACCTGCAAACATCCAGCTGGCCTCTCCTCCAGGCCCTCAGGAGAGGGAAGGTCCTAGTTCACCATTTTCTCTAGGCCATTTTAACTTACTCCCCAGGAAGGGAAGAGGACAAAGAGCTCCTCAGGAGTCCTTGTAGCTCCTCAGCCCCAGCCCTAAATCCCAGCCCATTAAATGCATACCTGCTCAGAATCTGAGCAAAGAGCAGTCCTAATCTTCCCCACCGGGAGCCTGAGAGTCAAGAAATCCCTCAAAATTCCTAAACACATGCTGAGAGATGGGGATGACAGGACATGCTGGGTCAGCACCTGCAAAATGGTTGAAGCAGGAAATCATTTGCTAAGTCCTAGAGTAGCAAATCTTTTCCTCTCCATAGAGCTTCTCAAACATGAGAGAAGGACCAAATCCTTGCAGGCTTCCTTCCCACAGCACCCTTCCAGATGCGGGAGGAGAAGCCAGAGAGGGTACTGGCTTTCTGCTTGGAACCCAGAGAATGGGAGCTGTCCACATTAGTACTGGCGGGAGGTCAGTGCCAGGCACAGAGCTCGGGCACAGTGGCTATTAGCAATGGCTGTGCTTTCTCCATTTCTCTCTCTCCTCTCCTCTGCAGCCACTGGCTTATTCCAGTTCCATATAAAATCAGCGAGGACCCGTCCACAAGGCCTTTCAATCCTCTACTGCGTAAGTGTCCTTTATCCTTATGATGGCTTCTGGGCAACGGCTGGAGGCATAGCTGACCTCATAAAATAGATCAGGACAGGACAAACCAGCTATCAGCCCCCTCTCAGATGCCCACACCTGTAACCAGGGCTCAATCTCCAAGGCCAGCAACATCTGAGCGCCACCCCCAGGCACAGTTGTGTGCTCTGTTCCATTTAACACGGCCAAGTCCACTTCCAGGGAGACAGAATGAGAAAAAAGTGCAGACAAGAGGCAACATTTTAGACTTAGCTAGCTTCACTTCTGTAAGCCAATCTGAAACAACCTAAGCACAGACATTGAAGCACAAAAAAAATACATGATTCGTGCTGAGGTTAGAAAAAACTAAAAGGAAGTAGCGAAGCAAAGGATAAGATCAATCCCAATGTTCAAAGTTTATAGGTATAGTATATAGAAATGCTATGCAGGTATTGTTAATTTTTTAAAGTATAATAAAAATGAAGTACACAAGCAAGACACATGGGAATATGTGATGTTAGGTAGGATTTTCTTTTTTCTTCCCACTTAACTAAATTTTCCAACTTTCCCACCATGTGATGTTTGCATTTTATAAGCAGAGGGGAGAATGTGCATACAAAAAAAGAGGCTGATTAATGGAGGCTAGACTATCTGAGAAATGATTTCTTAGCAAGATGGGCTTTTAAGGGTGGGAAGGGAGAAAGGAGGCAGGGCCTGGTAGGCTGGCAAAACATGTCAGGAAAAGGAAGGACTGTGAATACAGACACACCTTCCTGGAATCCACAAGTGAATAGGGGAATTTGCCTGAAAAATAAGGATTTGTGACTTCTCTTGGAAAATCAGAGGTCTGGCTGCTCCAAACTGCCCTCTATTGGAGCCGTAATCAAGTCACCATTGACCTGCCACTCCCCAAAGGGTGACCCAACACAGCCAGGAGGTCAACTGCCATTCCCTGCCATGCTCACCTCAATGCAACACTCACCAGGCCACCTCACCCTTCACCCTTTGCAGCCGGGGCCCCAAAGGCCTTGGCTTTGGCCTTGTTTCCCAGACTGACAAACTTCTGTTTTTCTCTCTCTAGGTTGAAGCCCTCTTTGACAAAACAGCAGTCCCTGTGCCTGGAGGTCATCTCCCTCCACATCCTAAAGATGCCAACATTTCCATAATTATGTCCAGCACAATGGTCAAGACAGTTGTCAAGTACAATGCCAAGCGGAGCTCCGCCAAGGTAAGCATCATCTACGCGGCCCCTGGCACAGCTCTGGTCTGTGCATCAGCCAAATCTGCCAGCCTCTGAGAGTGAGAAGGTGGGCAACCAAATGGGTTCTAAACATTCTTCCAGAGATCTGGCTGATCAATGCCATAGATACACATTTTCCCTAAAAGATCAGATGTTTCCATCAATGGAAAACAGAAAAAAATTTTTTCTTTAGTACATGGCAATTGAACCAAGGGCCTCATACTCACACTGAGCTACATCTCCAGCCCTTTTAAAAATCTTTTTCCAGTACTAGGAATCAAACTCAGGGCCTCATGCTTGCCAGGCAGGTGCTGCACTGCTAAGCTACATTTCTGGCTCTCCTTTTTAAATTTTTGAGATAGGGTCTTGCTAAATTGCCCAGGCTGGCCTCAAATGTGCAATCCTCCTGCCTCAACCTCCCAAGTAGCTGGGATTACAGGTATGTGCCTCCACACCTGGCAACATTTTTTTGAGTGCCATCTGTGTATCAGGTATATAGATGGGTATCCTTATATCTAAATGTAAAGATTTAAATGATTAATGTTATTTTATCCTCACAACAGCACTTGGATAGAGGTATTCTTATTCCATTTTACAGAGGGCCTAAAGGAGAGAATTAATTTATCAATAGTGTTAGAAGGATGGGCTGGGGATTTAGCTCAGTGGCACCGCACCTGCCTCACAAGTGCAAGGTCCTGAGTTCAATCCCTGGTACCAAAAAACAATTGTCTTAGAAGGATCAATAGTATGGGGCTTATCTACACATGAAGTATTCACTTGCTCTTGGCCCTATAAGGGGTAAAAGGAAGTAACAACATCAAGAATAACTGACTAGGCTAAGGATGCAGTTCAGTGGAAGAGCACTTGCCCCGCATGCATGAGGCTCTGAGTTTAATCCCGAGCACCACAAAAATAATAATAACAATAACAACAAGTGCTTCCACGTGCCAGGCCCAGTTTGAAGCAATATATAATGTGTTCTTATCAGTGTCCCTAAATGATCAACTCAGAGTTCTCTTGCTGCAAGGGTTTAGAGATAAACATAAAGACAAAGCATACAGTAATAGAAAAGCAAAATCTCACGTTGCATACCCCACTATCCCTCCAAGGAAGCAAATGAGATAGAAAATACCGGGAAGTAGGCCTCGTCTGTGTGGCTATCTCAGCTTTGCCGACACCCAGCTAGATGATCAATACATAGTAGAGAATCGTGAGTCCTCTGCTGTGAATGATATGCGAGTGGCTCATGACACAGTATCTGTGGTCCTTCTTCCTCTCCACACTCTAACCGACAACTTCTTTACCACAGTCAGATAACCTGGAGGCAAGCATCACCAAGACAACCTTCAGGTTCCAGCAAGACAGTAACAGTGTTCGGGTTGCTTACTCGACTACCATAAAAAAGGATGGTGAGAGTTTTGCTAAGGGAGAATCGGTAAGTGCTGAGAAATGAACAGGAACTGAGCTGTGAGAAGGAACTTTAAGGAACAATGTTTAATGGGATGAGCTGCTACCAAACCTCAAGTGCCTGGGTGTCACCAGAAGAAAGGAACAGATACTCTGGCAGCTCAGCCCCAAGAGGGAAATGGAGTGAGCACTCTGGCCTAGAAGGATGAGGCCAAGTAGACCTCACTCTGGTCCTGAACTGGGACCCCAATGGTCGTCTCACGATGTGACATGTTTACTGAGTAGCCAGGTCAAGGTATTACATTTAATGCATATTCACCTTATTTCAGGTCATAATCATCAAAACTGCTGGCAAGATTTCAAGTGACAAAATGATAGTAAACGTTGAAGTTTCAAGGTACTATCTATGACTACATAATTCTATTATCAATGTAAGAGACAATAAGAAACCCTGGGCTGGGGATTTAGCTTAGTGGTTCCCCTGCCTGCCTCACAAGCACAGTCTCGAGTTTGATCCCCGGTACCAAAAAAAAAAAAAGAAACCCAACACATAAGGACAATAATGCATAAGGCTCAGGAAATACTTGGATAATTACAAGGAAATCAAAATCAAAATATACTCACAGGCTCCTTAAACTTCATCTAAAGTTTGCCCTTTCAGATCAGAAGTTCCTAATTTATAACTGACTTTTACTAAGAAGCACCTGAAATGATAAACTCTACAATTGAGTAGTATTTTTCATAAGGCCTAATATTTCTCTGTACTTTGTTTCCTGACAGATCTGAGCACCACGTGAGCCCTCCTGAGTTGGTAAGTTATGTGGTTGTCAATATATTTACCTATAGTATATCAAAAATAATGCCCGATGCTCAGTGACATGGAGACTGAGAATGAAGACTAGATCATAGAAAACCTAAAACACAGCTGCCCAAGCCCGCTATCGATTACCACACTTAGTCAGTGACCTGGAAATGGCCTGGAATCTGCACTCATATGGCATCCTAGATGTTCTGATATACCAGCAGGGCTGGGGACTCAGTGGAAACATGAAAAGATGACCTAGATCTAATCTGACTCTGCTCAGGAGAGCAACTCATAAATATAGCCAGCTTCCTATGGCCTCAGCTCCCTGTGAGGGGTTTCTATCCAGGCTCTATGGAATGAGCACAATGTGTGAGGCAAACACACAGATGACCAAGGAAGAGCCTGGGAGACAGAGCAGAGAGTGAGAGTAGAGAGTAAGGGTAGGGCCCAGAGCCCAGAGCCCAGGACCCAGGGCCCAGGCTCCTGGAACAGAGGTGAAACTGACAGAAGGGTCACCAACCAACCCCATCTTTCAGGCATCTGACCTGTTAATCCTTAATTCAACAAGTGTTTACTGGGCACCTACTATGTGCCTGGCCCTACAACTACCACCTGAAGTAGTGACAAGGTGTTTAATTTCAGGAACTGATATGCCAATGTGTGGGCTGAAAGGATACATATAAACACACAGAAAGTAGACCAAAGTTATTAAGAGAATGGAGGCCTCAATGGATGCCCAGAGGTAGACAACTATATGACTCTGGGTTTAGAGCCTGTGTCGTCTATGGCAGCCCTGAGATAATGAGTTAGCTAAGAGGTACACGATGGGGATCATCACATGCCTGGTGTTCTCTCTGTCTCATCTTCACCATGCAGCTATAGGATATACCTAGCTCTGTGCTCAGGGGAAGCAACTTATAAGGGCTGATCCCTGACTTTGTGTAACTACACACCTGGCAGGAGACACAGGCATTTATGTAAATAGTTTCAAACTCACTATGTAGACAGAATGGAAGGAGAATCAACTGGAAAGCACAGAGTAGGTTTAATCAAAAGTTGTCCCCTAACTCAGTTATGAACAAAGGAGGAGGACTTGACCACACACAGCAAGTATGGAACTAGATGTGCAAAGGATAGGCAGCATGGACTCACAACCCAGCAGGGGAGGGCGGTGCAGGGAGAGGGAAGGGAAAGAAAGCACCAGCACTGAGGACCAGATCCAGGAAGGTCTCAGATCTAGAGCAAAAGAGGCAGCAGCCCTACCACCACTGAACTTGGTGTTTGTCCTGAAGCACAGAGCTGCCTGCTGTACCTACACGAGTGTCTTGCATGTAACAGGAACCCAAGAAACCCCTGTTCAAGGAGCCACGTCAGGCAACAACAGCTACCGAAGGGCCTTGAAAACTCCTAAAGATTTAGTGGCCAGGGGGTGGGTCGAGATCCACCTCCTGGCCTTGTCCAGTAACTGAACTTTTTATTAGGAAAAACCTGCAGATACACAGGCTCTAAGACTGCTTTCCCTGACTACAATGCCTTGCTGGGAGCTCTGATGAAACTATTCCTCCCATCTCTTTGCAGGACACAGTAAAAGATGTGCTGTTCAAAGTTCAGAAGAAGTTCTCAACTTACCTGACTGGTATGTGGAGTTAATAACCCAAACACCTGAGAGAGTCAGTGTCACAGGAGAGGGCCCAGGGTGTAAACCATGCTGCACAGTGCTGTAGCAGAGTACAAGACCACCCATCACCAGCTGGATCACAGATAGGAGATAGCATCAGATAGGAGAAAGCATTTTGAGATGGTAAAAATAAAAACCAAATCAAAATGTCTTTTCTACAACTCTTAAAGAAATCTAGTCCACAAGATGTCTTTGAGACCAATACCATCATGCCATTTAAAAGAAACATGGACCAGGGTTACCTAGTCACACAGACATTAGGGGTCTGACAATTCAGGAGGCTGGAATCATAACCGTTGTGACCAACAATGGTAATGGTACAGCATGTTAGCTGGACATATTTGTGGTTAATTCTAAAAGAGTTCAAAATAATGTCATAAAGAACAAGAAACTAGAGTCATTTATAGCTAAATGGATGCACATTGAGGCCATACTCTTAAGTGAAATAAATAAGACACACGTGTAAATACCAAGTAGTTTCTCTGGTATGAAAAATTAAAAGTGTAAATAAGGATCAAAATGTATACTTGATATTGTGAAATAGAAAGAAAAGGTCTAAAGGAGTAACGGAAATGGGAGTGGTGGGGAAGGAAAAGAAGGGAAAAGAAAAAATATGAGAAAAGGAAAAAAATGGAAACAAAGTCTTTGCAAATAGGGAAGAGAGGGGTTGAAGGGAGGGCAGGGGAATGGGGAAGAAATAAGAACCAAGATACGTCATGTAAAGGTACAAGATCCCAATGATGAATGTAACTGTGTTGTATACCTAAAATGTACCGATAAACTTAATGAAAAAATAATAATAATGTACTTACTACCAAAACAGGAAGCCCTCACTCTTGTGGTGTTGTAATAAGATCAGACATGCCAGGATCAATATTGACAGCAACATTAGGATACCCACCAGGTCTCCACATGGTTCTGGAGTCTCTTATCTTTGCTTTTCCACGCTCAGCCCTCCCACCCCAACAGACTGGAAGACACTATGTAGGTCTTTACCCAAGTCACTCTGTTGAATGGGCAGGGGAGAGATTTCTCCCAGAGCCACACATACTGCCCAGAGTTCTCTCCATCTGACTAAAATAGGCCACCCAGGTTATTTATTGTTTTCTTCAACTCGTATCATAATATGGTCTTTCTTCATTTCAGAATCAGCTAAAAACTGGAATATACCATCAGGAGTACCTCTATTTCCTGTAGATGGTGATATTACACTAACACTATCGGTAAGAGAAACTTTCTTATAATGCAAGGGATAGAACTCAGGGCCAAAGGGCCAGGGATTTAGCTCAGTGGTGCCGTGCTTGCCTGGCAAGTGCAAGGTCCTGAGTTCAATTCCCAGTATTAAAAAAATACATTATAGGGCTGGGGATTTAGCTCAGTGGCACCACGCCTACCTTGCAAGTGTAAGGTCCTGAGTTTGACCCCTGGTACAAACAAACAAAAAAAACCTAAGGGCCTCACACATGCTAGACAAGCACTCAACAAATATTTTCCCTTTGCACTAAAACCTATTCTGTACTTAAGATCTTCAGAGAGGCTTAATTCAGGGTCCAAACAATGATACCAGAATCCATCTCTTGGCTGTACTATTTCTGTATCTGTTACATTTTGGATCTTCATGGATGCCTCCACCTACCAGGAACTTCACTATTTCCTTCCCTGACAATTCAAATAACCATCAGCCCACAGTTGTTCCATATCCCCATTCCTGAAGCAAGCACTGTGATCAGGGGACAGAGTGCACTGGTTGGCTTGGACTGTGCCTGCAGTCAGCTTACGTGTTTAAGTGCATAATTGATTCTTTTATTTCCCCACAGAAGGATCTTCTGGCAGCAAACTGAACCTAGCATAACTGAAAACAGGGAATATTCTGAATGAAAGTGAAAACATTCTGTAAAACTTTCCTATGAAATATTGAGCTGAGGACATCCTTATGATTAAGGAACTGAGTAGAATTAGTTTTCTTAAAATGTCAAGTATCCCTTTGGAATTTTCACCAACCACCTTGAATTAACAAGAGCCCTAGTAGACAAAAATTTAGGGATTTTTGGCATTGTTCTAATGAACTCTTTAATAAACAACCTGTTGCATGCAAAAAATGACTCTCATCTTCAATTCTTGCAGACAAGAATCTCTTTGTATGTTTGATTCATCAAAGAACTTACTGGGACAAAAAAACTAGTATAAATGATGAGGCAATAAAGCCCACTTATTCAGCACACTAAGGGGTAATCATAAGAATGATGAAGACTGTTCTTCTGCTGTTTCTGCCCCTCACCACCCTAAGAGTTTAGATCTGGAATATCCCCCAAAGGCCCATCTGTTAAAGGCTTTAAGTCCCTCGCATGGTGCTATTAGGAGGTGGTGATTTTGAGCGATGGGGCAGTGGGAGGGCTTTGGGTTCCTAGGGCACACCCAGGAATGGGAGGCTGAGGTAGGATGTCAGAGACGGGGCACAGAAGGGGACAGCACCCCCAGAAAACAAAGGCCAAATCCCACTATTACCTTCAGCTCTTTGCCCAGACATAGGGTCTTGGTTTCTCCAAGGCCAGGACTTCCTACAATCTATACCACTGTGGTTTACAGCAATATAATACACACCATTTCCCTAGCCAGATACCTGGAAATCATTCTCGATTCACCACTCTCTCACCAACACACCAAATCCTGTTGATTCTGTCTCAAGAGCATATCTCCCATCTGTGTTTCTCTCCTTCACCACCCTGGTCCAAGTCCCCATCATCAACCACCAGAGTAACCAAACTCCCCACTTCTGCTCTTGCCACTTATGATTCATTCCCGACCTGGCAGTCAGAGTGCTTTTTATAAAACAGGTACTTTTTCTCCTTAAAAACCTCCCAACCATTGGTGAGAACATGGACTATTCAGAACTGTTTTGCACTGCTGGTGAAAATGTAAAACTGGTTCAGTAATTATGGAAAACAGGTTAGCTATTCATCATAATGTAAACACAGAACATATGACCCAACAACTCCACTACTAGGTATACACCCAATGGTCACCTTCCTTGTCACTGGGACAAATATCTGACACCCACAATTTAAAGGAGAGGTATATTTTGGCTCAGGGTTATAGTCCATGCTCAGCTGGCTCCAAGGCAGAAACGGCATGTTAGAAGGGTCTTGGTGAAGGAATGCTGCTCAGCCCATGGCAGCCAGGAAGCAGAGAGTGAAGGGAGGAGCCACACTCCCAGTGACCTGCCTCTAACCAGGCAGCTACAGTGACCCCATGACTATTCACCTTTCAAGGGCCCTGCTTCAGCACCCAAGTGTTCTGGGGTCCTTCTTGGTCCAAACTATAACAGAACTCTAAACAGAACCAGTTGTGGGGGTACATACCTGTAATTCCAGCACTCAGAAGCCTGAGGCAAGGGCCAGGGATTTAGCTCAGTGGTTTTGCCGCCTGACCTTGAAGCCTAAGGACCTGAGTTCTGTCTCCGGCACCAAAAAAAAAAAAGAATAGAAGGCTGAGGCAAGAGGATCGCTACGAGGTCGAGGACAGTCTGAATACACAGTGAAACCTTGTCTCAAAAAAAACTGTAAGGGGCCAGGGATTTAGCTCAGCAGTTTCGCCGCCTGCTGCCCAAGCGCAAGGACCCAAGTTCGATCCCCGGTATCAAAATAAAAACAGGGCCGGGGATTTAGCTCAGTGGCATCATACCTGCCTTGCAAGCACAAGGTCCTGAGTTCAATCCCTGGTATATATATAAAAAAAAACCTGTAAACAGAAAAACTGTACATATTGCTCACAGCAGCACAATTTACAATTCAACAGTTCACTTATGGATGAATGGATGAACAAATGTATATAAATGCAAAGGAATATACAGCCATAAAAAGAATAAAGTACTGCCACAATGTGGATGAATCTTGAAAACAGGCTAAGTGAAAAAGATTAAACACAAAAGCCACATATTGTATGATTTATTTACATGAAATGGTCAGAATAAATAATCCATAGAAACACAAAGTATATACAGTATTAGTGTTTTGCAGGGGTTGGGGGGAGACTAGGGAATGACCAACAGGTACAGGGTTTCTTTTTAGAGTGATAAAACCGTTCTAGAGCGAGACATTGATGGTTGTTGCAACCCCTTGTGAATATACTAAAAAACACTGAATTGTATACTTCAAAAGGGTGAAATTAACAAGACTAGCTCTGCAAAGCTCTACTAGAGCTTCCCATTGTAAAAGGAAATGAAGGGATTCCTATAAAAGGGATTAGGAGAAAGAAGACTATACATAAGCACTGTATTATTTGGATTACTTACCACATATATGCTTTAAAATATTAAATGCCAAAAAATATATATTAAACAAATATCTAAATAACAGATGTTATTTAAAATTAAAACTTCAAGGGCTGGTGATGTCGCTCAGTGGTAGAAGCACGTACTTTGCATGTACAAGGCCATGGGTTCAATCCCCAATACCACCAGATAATAATGCTACTACTAAAACTTCAAAACTTATTATGCCTTTTGAATAAAATACTGAAGAGCAATAACAAGTGTTCTCAGTAGAAGATGAACCCTAAGAGTAAAAGCTAATCTTCCCACGCCAAACTAGCACCTGAGGAAGAGGTTCCCAACTGAGGGTTGTCATGCTCAACAACTGAGAGGACCTAAAGGATATCCTGGTCAGACACACAGTAAACACTTCAGCATATTTTAATACATACAGTCTGTTTTAGAAGAACGGTCCTTCAAGGATCACTTCCATTTGGTAGGAATTTACAATGTTCTGTGGGAAATACTGTGTTTGTTTGGTGCTTAGGATTGAACCCTTGCACATGCTAAGCAAGAACTCTACCAATGAGTTACAACCCCCAGGCCCAACACTGGGAAACCCTTTACAAGCAGAATCTCACTGAACTCCATATGAGATAAAAATTTTATTATTATCCCCAGATCATACATGAAAAGATCAAAGTTCAGAAAAATAAAGTTAACTACTCAGGTTTATACAACATTTAAGCAATGCAGTGGAAACCTGAACCAAAATCCTTCTGCGGCTATCATATCCTGGGTTTTTCTCATGATGCCCATGGAACAGAACAACTGCAATAGTGAATGCACAGAACACCACTGCCACAGCCTATTAAGAAGTAATGACAGTTTGCAAAATTCCAGGTGCTCTCAGACCTGAAGGCAAAAATAAACTGACAGACTAAAAGAAAAGTCCATGAGGAAATCCTCAGGCAAAATACATATAAAAAAGTAAGAAGATAGGCAGTTGAATCAATAGCATCAAACAAAATCATCAGAAGCTGGGTGCACTGTACAAGCCAGGTGCAGTGGCACACCCCTGTAATCCCAGCTACCAGGAGGCTGCGGCAAGAAGACCCTAAGTTCAAGGCTCAATCTGGGCAACTTAGGACTCTGTCTCAAAAAGAAAAAAATTTTTTTTTTGGTACCAGGGATTGAACTCAGGACCTTGCGCTTGCAAGGCAGGCAGCAGGACCACTGAGCTAAATCCCCAGCCCTAAAAAAGAAAATTTTTTAAAGGCTTGGGGATATAGTTCAGCATTAAAGCATTGCCTAGCATGCATAAGACCCTGGAATTGATCCCCAGTACCAGGAAAAAGAGAGAGAGACTATCCAGAAACACTAACCAAAGCAAAAAATGAAGTAAAAGTAGACAAAAAGGCCATTAATTTTCAGTAAATTTAATGATTGTAAAGAGATACATTTTTACATTTAACATAAAGTTGCTTCACCACTTGTAGCTTATCTCCAAAGCATCATTACCTCTTTCACTAGTGCCCAGTGACGTCTCCTTCCTGTAGAGAAAGACTGCCCACTTCCCGTACAGAAGTGACTACTTCTATAGAGTAGATTTTATAGAGTCCTATAGAGAAGGACTGCCCAAACCACTGTGGTCAACAATATGCTAAGGAGTCCTTCAGAGTGGTCCTGCACAGAACATGTCCTTTGAGCGTCTGAGAGCTGGCAGAGGTGATCTGAAAGAAAACCAAACAGAAGAAGGCAAAGTAACCAGGACTGCACCACGAGTACTTAAGCAGAGCAAGGAGAGGCCACCAAAAGGAATGTAATGGAGATAACAGACTGACAGACTGTATGGCTCCAAACAGAAGAAATGTCTGTTTATAATGTAAGAGGTCAAATAAAAGTCCATCTCAAACAGCCACTTCTCCCTTTACTCTCAAGAGATAATTTCCCGGGGCCGGGGATTTAGCTCAGTGATTCTGGCACCTGCCTCGAAAGCGCAAGGTCCCGAGTTCGATCCCCGGTACAAAAAAAAAAAAGAGAGAGATAATTTTCCCCCCAATTCCAACCATAAGATCAGGTATAGCCAGGCTCAGTGGCACACACCTGTAATCGCAGCACTCAGGAGGCTGAGGCAGAAGGATCAAGAGTTTGAGGCCAGCCTGAGTTCATCCGCTTGGACTACACAGCTAGACCCTTTATCAAAAACAAAGCAAACAGGGTTGGGGATTTAGCTCAGTGGTTCCGCCGCCTGCCTTGCAAGCACAAGGACCCGAGTTCAATCCCCGGTACCAAAAAAATAAAAAAATTTAAAAAAAAACAAAGCAAACATTAAAAAAAAAAAGACTTTGTGGCCCATATTGGAGGAGATTATGAATGTCAGATACATGGGAAACCCTTTGACCGCACCAATTTATTTTCAAAGCCATGAAAAGACTGAGTGGAAAGGAACTCTATAATTGTAAGAAATGTGGGGAAACATTTCTCTCTTAGGAATTAAAACAAATATGGTAGGGCTGGAGATTTAACTCAGTGGTGCTGCCGCCTAACTTGCTAGCGCAAGGTCCCAAGTTCGATCCCCAGTACCAAAAAAAAAAAAACAAAGATGTTAACACACACTGGCACTAAATCCTGTGAATGTAAGTTATGTAAGACAGACTTTCCTATTGCCAGTTCAATTCCCAGTCATAAAAAGAACTAACATAAGCGAAAGAAAGTAGTATGGTAAAAGTTTCTGTAGCTTTATTTTCAAAACTTCTGTAGTTTTACTATATAAAAAATAACTCACACTAGACGGAAGCCCTATGAAAAGAAGGAATTTGAAAAAGCCTTGAAACTTCTCAATTCCTTTTAGATTTACATCTAGATGTGAGCAGCTGGTAGAAATAAAGAAAAATAAGATTTCTTCTGATTGTACTGTGTATATGAAACATGAGGCAAAGATATCAGAAAAGCCAGGAGAGGGCATGCACACACATAATTCCTGCACTTGGGAGGCTGAGGTAGGATTGTCTCAAGTTTGAGGTCAACCTGGGCTACATAGTGAGTTCAAGCCAGCCTGAATTACAGAGCAAGATCTTATCTGAAAAAAAAAAAAAGGTATCAGAAAAGGGACTGCATAGGTGAGTAGGGACTTAAAGAGAGATGGGAAAAATCAGTCTACTAGGAAATTACATTAGGACCAGAATTTCACCATGCTGAGGGTTCATTTGAGCTTTACAGTCATGAATCTGAAGTTAAGTGCAGTCAATTCATGTAGCAAGGGACATTACTTATTCCTCAACATGTGTTTCTCCTCTTCTTCCTCAATAACAGAACTCCCAATTTTTAGCTGGACACATGGTCATTCAGAATGAAGACCAACTTCTCAGCTTCTTTGCAGCCTGTTGTGGCATGTGACTACAGCAGAATTAAGTGTATGGAACTTCTGCAGAGCATCCTGAAAATAGGCGTGTCCTCCTGTCTTTTCCTCTTCCTGCTAGATAAGACATGGATATGGGGGCTAAAACTTGAGCAGCCATTCAGGATATGTGGTGACACTGGGAAGGAAGGCCCAAGACAAAGCAAAAGACAGAAGGAGCCTGGACCTCTGATGACATGTGGCCATCACAACATCTAGTCCAGGACCATCCACATCCAGATTTTATGAGAAAGAGAATTCCTGCCTTATAAAACCACTATATTTGGGGTTTTATGTAACCACCATCTAACCTAACCTACTATCCAATTGTACTTTTTCCCTGGTGATGTTCAACCACTTGGATGCAGACACAGAGTAAGCAGACTACCAGATTCACCAGGGTTGATGAGAAGATTAAGAAGTGTGGAGTTTAGGCAAATGAGGAAAAGAAAATAAGAAAGTGAAATTTATGGGGGGTTTTTTGGTTTTTTTGGTATCAGGGATCAAATTCAGGACCTTGCACTTTCGAGGCAGTTGAAGTGCCACTGAGCTAAATGCCCAGCCCTTTCATTTGTGGGTTTGTTTTTATTTGTTTGTTTGTTTGTTTGGGGAAAATGAAATTTATTTGTTTTTTGCTTGTTTGGTACTGGAGATTGAACTTGGGACCCTGCGAGGCAGGCATGGTGCCACTGAGCTAAATCTCTGGGCGGAAAGTGAAATTTATGAGAGAGTGGTTCCAGTGTAGACCAGAGACTTAGTCAAAAAGAACATGGGAAGAGCAGAGATAGGTGAAAGAGAAAGAACCAACATATCCCTAGCTGGATCCACAGTTCCTTCTTTTTTTTTTTCCAGTACCGGGGATAGAACTCAGGACTTGGCACCAGAACCACTGAGCTAAATCCCCGGCCCTTACAGTTCCTTCTTTATTTCAATCCTTCCACTAAATCTTACTTGTAGGGTTTATGTCACTTGGGAACAAAAGAGAATCTTGAGCAACTCAAAATTATCCAAACTAACATGCATTTCACAGTATACATCAAAAGCTCAAAGGAGCCCAGTATGGTGGTAAATGCCTATAATCCCAGTACTTGGGAGGCTTGGACAAGAGGATTGAGCTAGTTTCGAGGCCAGACTGGGCTACATAGTGAGTTTAAGGCCAGCCTGAACTACATAGCGAGACCCTGTCTCAAAAAAACAAAGAAACAAAAAACAATTTTTTAAAAAACTCAAAGGATACATTACCTTTACCAGGACATAATCTCCAGGCTGGGCTCTGACCTTAAGCCCAGGGTTAATGCCATCCTCCACCTCTGCATCAGGGAAAATTACTTTAAGGTTTCCATCATTCCGGCCACACAAGTCTGTGACAGAGCGTTTACTGAGCTGCAGAAAGACAAGAGTAGACTGTCAGTCATAAGTTCTAGGACAGCGGAAACTGCCTTCTCTGTCTCAGAGTCTCAAGGGTCTGTACCCAAAGAACACTCCTTAACCAAACAATGATTGGAAGCTTAATGTTTACTGCTGCTTCACCAACAAGGGCAGAGCATGGCACACAACAGTCTGCTGGCTATATCTGAATCACTCAATCAATCAATGAGTCTTTGCAGAACTGCCTTCTGCAGCAATTAGCTTCTAACAAGGCCAAAGCCCAGGTATCTGTGGGTAATGTACTTGTACTTGGCAAGTCAACTTGCCCACTCTCGAAATAATCACTCACAAATGTTCTGAGGTTGACTGGCCTGGGTTGCTTGCCCTATTGAACAGACAGATTTGAAGCCAGAGTCCACCACAATATGGTGCCAGAAGAATATAATGACTAGGATGGGATTAACTTCTATAATACCCATAAGTCTTACTCTTACAGTCATGATGAAATGACAGATGAAACTAAATTTATCTTCCAGCCTTAAGTTAGGAAACTGGACAAAATATAAGAAACAGTTTTCACACAATGGACAACAAAGCACACAAGTTGTGATGTAAAAGAGAAGGAAAACAAATGAAATGACACCAGACACTCTTTAACAAAAAGGTATATGCCAGGCCAGGTCACAAAAAGTAGGGAGGAAGATCTCAAGCAGAGCATAAGGGTTTTCTCTCCACTGAGAGAGAAGAATCAGCCAGGCATAGTGACAGATACCTATAATCCCAGCACTGGGAGGCTGAAGCAGGAGGATCAAGAGTTTGAGGACAGCCTAGGCTACATAGGGAGTTCAAGGCCAGCCTGCTACATAATGACACCCTGCCTCAAAAAACAAAACAAAACAGGAAGCAAAATAAAACAGAAGGGGCCTGGGAGATAACAGATCAAAAGTTCAGGGAGTCTGAGATAGCTAGAAATTATAAAGCAAATTCTAAAAAGGAAGAAGTTAGGCAGAAAAAGAGCTCTAGAAACATGCATAGGGTACCTTGGACTCTTTGCCTAATACTAACACATACATATAGAGTAAAACTCCATGAAGTCAGGCAAAGAGAGCAACCTGGGAACTGTCATCCAGCATCAAAGCTGACATCTAAATTACAAAATATTTAACAGACACCTTTTGGGGGTCTTCACCAGCTTGGTGCCACCGCTCAGCAGCCACTGCTGCACCACTTCTCCCTGCCACCCAGCCAAGGCTTAGCAGACCACAGAGGGATTCCCCAAGCCATGCTGAGTTGAGCAGGTTCTCTGACTCGGAGCTGAGAAACACAACTACTGGAACTACTATGTATAAATGTGGAAACTACAGGACTGCTATACTCTGCTACACAAATGATTGGAAGTAGGGAAAGCTGGCCTGAGCAGGAGAAGCAAGTCTGTCTCAAGGGCTTCCTAGGCCAAGTACAGTCTCTTCCAGACACCAGACTGTACCTTGCACATCCCCACAAAAAGTTATGTAAAAATGTTTTGCTTTGTTGTGTAAATTTCTGTTGCTACCAGAGAGTTTCAACAAATACAAACATCAGACAAGTGGCTGCTTTTATGCTGCCATATCCTAGGGTAAGGAGCAGAACTGTCCTTCTCAACCAGGACCTAAGGCAGACGAAAAAAAAAAAAAAGATTTGTCCGGGGATTTAGCTCAGTGGCACCACACCTGCCTCACAAGTGCAAGGTCCTGAGTTCGATCCCTGGTACTGCCAAAAAAAAGACTTGTATGCCAAAAACTACGAAAACTTTGATAAAAAAAAGGTCTTATGGCTGGGGGTATCACAAGCCCCAAAATGAAACTATACTACAAAGCTACTGTGATAAAATCAGCATGGTACTGGCAAAAGAACAGACCTGAAGATCAGTGGAATAGATTAGAAGATGGAGAAACAACTCCAGACATACTTAGCCACCTCATCTTTGACAAAGGAGCCAACCACCCTCATTGGAGGAAAGATAGCCTATTTAATAAATGGTGTTGGAAAAACTGGATTTCAACCTGCCAAAGATTAAAACTAGACCCATACCTATCACCATGCACTAAACTAAAATCAAAGTGGATTAAAGATATAAATATTAAGACAGAAACACTAAACTTGCTGGAAGATAAGTTAGGTAGAACTCTTGAAGACATTGGCATAGAAAAAGACTTCATGAACAAAACCTCAGTAGCACAGGAACTAGCAGAAAGAATCAACAACTGGGATCTCATCTTATTAAAAAGCTTCTGCACTGCAAAAGAAACCACCAACAGAGCTAACAACCTACAATATGGGAAAAAATTTTTAGCAGCTGTACCTCAGACAAAGGGCTACTATCTAGAAAATATAAAGAATTGAAAAAAATCAGACCCCCCCCCAAATTCAAAGACCCAATTCAAAAATGGGCATCTGAAATGAACAGACATTTCTCAAAGAAGTAAAAGCAGCAAATATATGAAAACATGGTCAACATCACTGGCCTTTCGAGAGATGCAGATGAAAACAACACTGAGATTCCACGTCACCCCAGAAAGAATGGCTGCTATCAAGAAATCAACCAATAACAAATGCGGGGTGTGGGGAGAAAGGAACTCTTCTCCATTGTTGGTGGGAGTGCAGACTGGTGCAACCACTGTGGAAATCAGTATGGAGACACCTCAAAGAACTAGGGCTAGAGGTCCCATTTGACCCAGCTATTCCCCTGCTGGGTATCTTCCCAAAAGAATTAAAAGAATCATACCACAGCGATATATGTGCACCCATGTTTATAGCGGCACAGTTCATAATAGCTGAAGCTTGGAAGCAGCCCAAGTGCCCATCAACTGGAAACTGGATAAAGAAGATGTGTTTTTTTAATAAAATGGAGTACTACTCAGCCATAAAGAATGAAAAACTAGAGTCTTTTATAGCTAAATGGATGCATATCGAGGCCATACTCTTACGTGAAATAAATAGGACACACATGTATAAATACCGAATAGTTTCTCTAGTGTGAGAAACTGATAGTGTAAACAAGGGTTAAAATGATTAAAATGAATAATTGATAATTTGAAATAGGAAAAAAGGTCCAAAGACGAAGGGGTGAAGGGAGGGGAAGGGGAAAGGAAAAGAGGGAAAGGAAAAACTATGAGAAAAGAAAAAAAAATGGAAATGAAGTCTATGTAAATAGGGAAGGGTGGAGGGGGTGAAGGGTGCACAAGTAATGGGGAAAAAATAAGAACCAAGATACATCATGTACAGGTACAAACGCCCAATGATAAATGTAAATGAATTTTAAACCTGAAAGGTACCAATAAAAGAACTTAAAAAAAAAAAAAAAAGGTCTTACTAAAGGAGAGATATATTGTGTTCTAAAAAAACAACAAATAAAATGTACACATACTTAGACAGACTCACCCCCTCTACTAGTACCAACTGCGTACAACCCACAGAGGTTTTATTGGCTTTTGAAGCTTCTTCGCGGAAGACAGTGATAAGTTCCTCCAAACGCCTTAATTTTACTTCTTCTGGAACATCGTCCTTCAGCCTGTGATATGCCCGTGTCTTCTGTTTAAAAAAAAAAAAAGGAGATAAAGGTCACTCAAATTCTAACTTTAACACATAAAAATCATAGACAAAATTACTCCTGCTATTTGTCCTAAGGTCACACTTGGGACGTATACTAAATGATTCAGGTACTAGGTAACTAGGTAACTCAACACCACTGTTTATGAAACACAAGGTACAAGGCAGTCTAAATGCCTCAAAAACAAAATAAAATAAAATGAGCTAGGGATGTAGCTCAGTGACAGAGCACGTGCCTACCTTGTGCAAAGCCCTAGATTCAATCCCTAGCACCAGACCAAAAGAAAAAAAGATATCTCTGTATGTATTAATATGGACTGTTTTCCAAAACATACTGTTAACCACAGTATATCTTTGGGGTAGACAAAAAATACAAATATGGTTATAAATAAATGAAATTTTGTTGGAAGATTATACAAAAAACTGCTAAGCATGGCTGTCTTCAAGAAAGGAAAAGTGGGCCAGGGATTTAGCTCAGTGGTGCTGCCGCCTGCCTCGCAAGTACAAGGTCCTGAGTTCAACCCCTGGTACCAAAAAAAGGAACAGAAAAACTACTGGGAAGAAGGAAAAACTACTTCTCACTTTATTCCATTTTAACCTTTTAATCTCATGAATTTTTTTTTTTGGAGACAGGGTCTCACTATGTAGCCCAGGCTGGCCTCAAACTCACAGCAATCCTCCTGCCTCAGCCTCCTGAGTGCTGGGATTACAGGCATGTGCCACCACGTCCGGCTCTGAATTTTATACCATAAGCATATTACCTAGTCAAAAAAAATTATCCTAGGGGCCAGGGATTTAGCTCAGTGGTTCTGCCACCTGCCTCGCAAGCACAAGGTCCCAAGTTTGATCCCTGGCACCAAAACAAAACAAAACAAAACAAAAAATTATCCTTGAAAACCTATAAATCATTCAAAACTACTGGGTGTACATGTTTACATATATCTTTAAGTATGTGACCTCATGCTCAAAACAGCTAAAGAAAACCACTGTGCTACACAAAACTGTGGGATTAAAAAAAAATCTTTAGCAACCAGGTGTGATGCCAAAAGCCTGTAATCTCAACACTAGGGAGGCTGAGGTGGGAAGATAACCATGAGTTCAAGGCCAGCCTGTACTACACACCAAGAAAAATCTTTAAACCAGTCTGACCATTCAAACCAACCTGCCTTTGAAATCCACAGAGAAAAACAGAAAATGGGTGGCGAATCCTAATATACCTACAGGTTTTACTCCATTCTGTCTTGGTATTAACAGTAGCACTTACCTACTCTTAACTATTCTATGTGCTTTTTATGTACTCTTTTTTTTTTTTTGGTACCAGGGATTGAACTCAGGACATTGCACTTGCGAGGCAGGCACGGTGCCACTGAGCTAAATCCCCAGTCTTACACTCTTAATCTTCAAAACAAGCCTATGAGATTGGTACTAATGTCACCCCCATTTCACAGATGAGGAAACCAAGGACCTTGGTCAAGATCACATAGTTATTAAGTGGCAGAGGTGCAATCTGAATGCTTGCTCTCATCCACTAGGATACTTAAGTCTCCATAACCCTACCAGTAACCTAGCAATTAGGTTCCAAAATGTCAATGTCCACAGGACATGTATCTACCACAAAATGACAATCCATTTCCCAACCCTAGCATTAGAAAGAATTTCTCTTTTATATTTGTTATGTCCATGGAAACGAAGCAAAATGGATTCTAAATGCTCCTCTGAAGCATCATCTCTGAAATAATTCTGTAAAAGACATGAATATACACATTGGCCCATCTACACTGGCTACAAAATACTAAACCATTAGCTTTAGAACAAATGAATTAGCTGGATTGATGGCAGCACAAGGACAGTGAGGCTAAACTCATGGATCCAGTCATCCATCAGTCAGCTTTCCTGAGCCCTGTGGTCACAGGGCCCTCAGCTCCATCCAAACACAAGATGCGCTGGCCTCGAGGTGACTAAGGAGGAGCAACCGTGCAAATCCACCCCTACCACCAAGAAAATGGCAGATCAGGGTTATGTCTTTGTAGGAAATACACACTATTCTCCCCTTCCTCATCTCCTGCTTTGTTTTCCTGGGAATTTATGTTATAGGGAAAACTAGAAGTAAACAACAGCGGGCCAACTTAGCCTAGAAAAACAAATGAGAAATGGCTATGGGTGGCTCAGAAGACCACACGTACAGACCAAAAATATAAGTTCTGCATGTTGAGAAATTATTTTAGATTCCTTGTAAAGAGGATACATTTCTCCCTATCCACATTAAAATTTCAAACACCCTAAACATAACTTTATTTTAATAAATAGGAACAATGGTATATTAACCCTTTTTCATCTCCAATTGCTGAATTGTGTCAAACATTAGACAAGACATAAATCGAAAAATGGAAAAAAAAAGTGGATGATAAAATCCTGAGGTTTTGTAATGAATGCCTTGCCATCTGCCTTTTCTGCCCAGCTGTCTATGATGAACCCCAAGCTTGTCAGGAATGAAGACAGTCCTCCCCCATCCAGGGCTCACCTGTCTCATGCTGTAGGCAAAGAGGAAACCTGTGTTGTACTGAACTTCCCGAAGCAAAGACACTGTTTGCTGGTGATCTTCTTCTGTCTCTCCACAAAAGCCAGCAATGAAGTCACTGCTGAGGCACACCCCTGTGATACACAACAAAGGCCAATAGAGTGCTGTTGCTGACCTTCAAGCGGAGCTTTGGCACTTGTGGATTACAGAGGGAGGGAGAACAATCAGAAGGCCTTCCCTGGGGACACTCAGTCCATGTACAAGTAAAACCATCATCACAGACAGGAGTGCTTCAGCCTGCTTCTCTACCACGATTCATACCAGAGCTGGCTTCTCACCCTACATTCCCCACAGCACTAGGAAAGGTAATTTCACTTCAAATGCCACATTCAAAGACATACTAGGAGTCCACATTTTCAAAGTGATATTGCTTTTACTAGAGAAAATCTTGCAGTGCTTGCACAAACATATTTCTTTTATATATCTAACCACAGAAAGGAGAGAAGAGGGAAAAAAGAAAGAGGAGGAGAAGGAGAGAGAACACAATGAAGAAAAGCAAAAGAAGTATAAATGGTGTCACAAGGAACTGTCTAAGGGGTTGGCAGTTGCCTGTATCTGACCAAGATGACTGTGCACTGGCACAGTAACATACTCACACTTAGCATGTCTTAAATATACCTGGAATAGACTCTCTGAGATGGTGAACTAACTCCACATAAGCCTCTCGTGAATATCTGCAATAAAGAACAAAAAGAAGGGCCAGGGATTTAGCTCGGTGGTTCCATCGCCTGCCCTGAAAGCACAAGGACCCGAGTTGGATCCCTAGTACCAAAAACAAAGCAAAACAAAACAAAGAACAAAAAGAAAAGGCCTAGATGAACGAATCTTCTTTAAATAAATCTTACCAAAAAAACACATGAATTCCCAAATGTAATCACTTCTCATTCATGTAGCACAGTTCAGGATTATGTTAAAGAATCTCAAAGAGCCCTTTTCATCAAACTCTTATCTAATCTAGAGACTATAATTTATCTTTCCAAGGCTTCACACATGCTAGGCAAATACTCTATCTCAGAACTATATCCCTAGCCCTGAATTTTTTAAAATCCCTAACCCTTTTAACAAATAAGACAGATTAAACACATAAGAGGGGGCTGAGGATTTAGCTCAGTGGTTTCGCCGCCTGCTGCGTAAGCACAAGGATCCAAGTTCAATCCCCGGTACCAAAAAAAATAAAAAATAAAGTAAGAGGATCTCTATAACTCTCTGCAACTGTAGAAAGGCAAGGCATAATTTGCGCTGGGTCACATTCTTTGCAGTCTTATCTCTGCAATACTAAATATTCCCAAAGTCAATGAACAGATCTATATTTAAATTCCAAAACCTAAAAGACTTTTCTTATTCTTGAAAGTTAAAGGGTTAAAATCTCCAACCATGCTACGTAGTAGATACTTAATTTTAAAATGTTAAACAGGGCTTGAGATATACCCCAGTAGTGGACCACTCAGCAGGCACAAGCCTGTGTTCAATTCCCAATACCAGGGCTGGGGATTTAGCTCAGTGGTTCTGCTGCCTGCCTGGCAAGCGCAAGGTCCCGAGTTCGATCCCCAGTACCAAAAAAAAAAAGAAAATAGAGAACCCCAATACCATAAAAATAAATAGGTAATTTAACAAATTTAAATATGCTAAAAAAAAATTAAAATGGGTGATCCAGTCCTTAGCCTATGATTATAGAGTGAGCCAAAGCAAGTTCCGTGTCTGTAGGTTTATCCATACCATAAACATTTACTGAGTAGCTACGAGCAAGAGAAGAGAGCAAGCGCAAGCCAGATTCCACCCAGCAGGCTGCTCACTGGCAGTACTGACATAGGGGTCAACAGTCAAGGAAGGAAAAGATGACATTGCTTTCATCTAGCTCATTTCTTTCATCTAGTGGGAATTCATTTCCTACATCTATGCTCAGTTCTTAGCAATATAGACATTACTTGTCATTAAAGAAACAAGGAAAGGTATAAGATGTGCCCTCTCCAAGTAAGTCTGACCCTCTCCGCATGGCCTCCAATACACGGCTGCTTCCACTCTGGGCTGGCAGGTGGATCTGCTTACAGATGTTGTCTCTCTCTTGAATCAGCTGCAGAACCTAATTAAACAGAACACATTAAGGGTCAGTTAAATCTTACCACTGAGTGTTGCAGAAAGGTGTATCACTCTGTTTCTCGTCAAGGTTAATTTTCAATAAATAAAAAAAACTAATTAAATTAAATACATAAATTACCAAAATCCCTAACTCTTACTCAAGCTGCCTTCTGTCTGCCCAGACATTTCACGTGAAGCCATCTTTATGTTCAAAAAGTGGAGGGAACAGAGCAAGCACAAGTCAGATTCAAGCCACAGGGCTGCTCACTGGCAAACTACTTAATTACTTTAAAAGACATCATTAAAACATTAAAATTATGGGGTCTGGAGATGTAGCTCAGTGGCACTGTGCCTGCCTGGCAAGTGCAAGGACCTGAGTTCGATTCCGGTACCAGAAAAAGAAAAAAAATTTTCAATTATGGGCTGGGGATTTAGCTCAGTGGCACCGTGCCTGCCTTGCAAGGACAAGGTCCCAAGTTCAATCCCCAGTACCAAGAAAAAAATATTAAAATTATGCTGGGCAGGGTGGTGCACACCTGTGATCCCAGCACTCAGGAGGCTGGGCAGAAGGATCGCCACAAGTTTGAGGCCAGGCTGAGCTACACAGTGAATTCAAGGCCAGTATGTACTACATAGTGAGACCCTATCTCAAAAGCACGCGCGCGCACGAGAGAGAGAGAGAGAGAGAGAGAGAGAGAGAGACTGAAGCCAGTAATACTAGCACACACCTGTAATTCCAGCACTCAGGAGGCTGAGGAAGGAGGATCACTATGAGTTCAAGGACAGTCTAAACTACATAATGAATTCAAGACTACCTGACCTATCCTGTAAGATTCTGTCTCCAAAAAGGGAGGAGGGGGAGAATTAAAACTAGAGAAAATATTTGAAAATATATTGACAAAGGATTTATATCAAGAATAAAGAAACTTTATACCTCAATTAAGAAAAATACCTTTTTTTTTTTGGTACTGGGGATCGAACTCGGGTCCTTGCGCTTGCGCAGCAGGCAGCAAAACCACTGAGCTAAATCCCCGGCCAATTAAGAAAAATAATCCAAGAGAGAAAAGATATCTGAGATAAACATTTCACCAAAACAAAAAGCTATCAAAAAAAAAAACTATCAAAAGAAAGGTTTTTATATGTGGGCTAACTACTCAAACTCTGGCACTGCACAAAGTTTGACACATTATATTATTTCACAACAATCTAAAGCAGGGGTCATATCCTTACATGAGAATGACGAGTTGAAAATCGTCTTCACAAACCCACTGGTAAAGCAGGGGAACAGCTGAGATTTGAACCCAGACCTGTATGAAGCTAAAGTCTGGGTTGTTTCCCACCACATCACATTGCCTTCCTTCCTGTCTGCACACCACCACCAAACCACTATCACTCCCGTGCAGCTGCCCACTTGTAATAAAATCTCCCCACACAGCCCTCATGATTGCACAGGCGAGCCTAACCTCCCATTCCTATCAGTCCTATCTCCACCCTAACCAGGAGGACTTTAAGTCTTCCCAGAGGGCTGCTGGATCCAGAGGGTGACGAGCAAACACGCCGCAGGACTCCACAAGCAGCTCTCAGGTCCCTGCTGCACCCGTGCTGGGCCCAGTCCATGCCAGGCATCAGGATATTGATACCAGGTTTGTCACAGCTAAATGACAACACTCACCTCATCAGGAAAATCCTTGGGGTGGGGAGAGGTGAACCGGATCCTCATTTCAGGATCTACTCGGGAAACCTGATCCAAAAGGTGAGAAAAACGAAGCCCTCCTTGTTTGGTTTTATAGTTGGTGGTGAAACCATGACTGAGGTTAGTAGACACTGAATTGTTGAACTGGACCTCTGAATTGTCTCGAAAACTATTAACATTCTGTCCAAGAAGTGTCACCTCTTTTAGCCCCTAAAAAGAGAAAATATGTTGGAAGCAAGTTAAAAACTTTTGAGCAACTTTATGCCAAATAACTAATTGAAAGTTGGCTCTAGGGCCAGGGATTTAGCTCAGTGGTGCCACCTGCCCGGCCAGCACAAGGTCCTGAGTTTAGTCCCCAGTATCAAAAAAAAATTAGCTGAACCTACCAAGAGCCACCTATATAATTTCAAGCTTCGGTATCTTATCTAAAGAACTGAGCTTCAGAATAAAACCTTCAGTAAAAATTAATTTTCAAAACACTAGTTAGGGGGGCCAGGGATTTAGCTCAGTGGTTCCACCACCTGCCTCGCAAGCAGAAGGTCCCAAGTTCGTTCCCTAGTACCAAAAAAAAAACAAAACAAACCACTATTTAGGGGGCTGGCAATGTGGTTCAGTGGTAGAACACTTGTCTACCATGCACAAGGACCTCAGTTCATCCCCAGTACCACAAAAAAAAAAAACAATTGTTCCATTTAAAAAAAAAAACTGAAAACAAATTCAGTGTTCTACAATAATGCCTGCCGGAGCCAGGGATTTAGCTCAGTGGTTCCGCCGCCTGCCTCAAAAGGGCAAGGACCCAAGTTTGATCCCCAGTGCCAAAAAACAAACAAACAAATAATGGCTGCCGGACATAGTGGCGCACACCTGTGATCCCGGCACTTGGGAGGCTGGGCCAGGCAAATTGCCACAAGTTCGAGGCTGGCCTGGGGTACAGAATGAGTTCAAGGCTACCCCAAACTACATAGTAAAACCCTATCTCAAAAGACCAAAAAAAAGGTTAATTTATGTCACATTCTGACAGTTGAATGTTACAAGAGTCTTTGAAGTATTTGCACCAGAAACTGTAACCTAAATCTCAAAGCTTTACATCTAACTTTTTTTTTTTTTTTTTTGGTACCGGGGATTTTAACTCTGGACCTTGTGCTTTCGAGGTAGGCAGCAGAACCACTGAGCTAAATCCCCGGCCCAGCATCTAACTTCTAATTACCAAGCCAGGCATGGTTCCAGCTACTAAGGAGGATGAAACAGGAGGCTCACTTCAGGACAGTGGTACAAGGCCACCCTGGGAGACAGCATGTCTCAACAAAAATACATGAAGATAGGGGAATAAAGCAAATATGACAATATTTAAACAACCATATTTATTATAATAGTCTTTCCATTTGTATGATTGAATTATAAAATTGTACAAAGAAAAAAATCATGGTAGCTACAAAAACTATTTTTTATAACTTTATTTTGTAAGTTTTTTGTTTTTTGGTGTTTTGGGGTTTTTCTGTTTTTCTTTTCTGGTACCAGGGATCAAACTCAGGACCTTGCACTTGAGAGACAGGCACAGTACCACTGAGCTAAATCCCCAGCCCAAAAAAACAAACTGCTTAGCACGCTCAAGGCTCTGGGTTCAATACTGGGGAAAAAAAAGCTCTTTATCATATAAAAAGGATAAAAACAATATTTGAAAAAAAACTGCTTTAAGTAGGGCACAGTGGTACATCCCTGTAATCCCAGGTACTCAAGCGCCTGAGGCAGAAAGATCAGGAGTTTCAGGGCCTGCACAACATACCAAGACCCCATCACAAAAAACAAAGCTATTTAAAGGACTTCCAATCAATAACCATTGCTTGAATGAAAAATGGACATTCTGTCATTCTGTTAAAGCCACAATATCATAGTATTCTATTTTCTTTCCAACTGTAGTCTAAAAATCTAAATAAAAGAAAAAAAGTTCCTTTACTAGCAAAATTAGTCATTAATAAGTCCTTTAAAACACATTTTTCTACAACTCTATGGCCTTGAATTTACTAAGATTCACTTCAGTGTTATTAAGAGCCTCCCTTTATATATATACAAATAATCTAGAAAAGTTAGGAAGATTTTGTCCCCATCTCAATATATTTACCCCAAAGTAGTTTCGTACTGTGAGGGTCCTGGAGGAGAAAGGAAGGAATCAACATTGGGCCAGGAAGCACTAGGATAGGTGAGGTATAAAGAAGACCTCACAGGCCAGTGAGAAACCAGGGATCAGGTCAGGGACAGGATTATCTGGGGATGAGGAAGAAAGAGAAAGACAGTGTGGCCAGAATATGAGCACAAGGCAAACAGCTGACTTAGAACTGGCAGGGCCTAGCCTGCCGGTGCCCATGGTTCCTGAAGCAAACAGAGAGGGAGACAGGGAAAGCTCACTAGAAGACAAGTCCCATATTCCCACCTACTTTCCTCTTCTCCAGGACTAGAAGATTCAGGCCTGGGGCTAGGGACAGAAGGCTGAGAAACTAGCTCCCCACAGGAGGTACACAAGCAGATCTCTCACCTCTAGCCTCTGATCCAACTCACTCCCCTCACCTGTTCTTTGTCCCTCAACTAGTGAGCTGGTTCTGTGATGAACAAGACACAGGAAGTCCCCAGAATAGACAGACTAAGTCATTTCCTGAAAACCTACGATGTGCCTGGTAGCTTAAAAACATTTCTTCAATCTCTCCAATTACCCTTTAAGAAAGGTATTGTTGGCCGGGGATTTAGCTCAGTGGTTTCGCCACCTGCCTTGCAAGCTCAAGGACCCAAGTTCGATCCCCGGTACCACAAAAAAGAAAAGAAAGGTATTGTTTTATCTTCTTTTCCTAGATGGAGAAACTGTGTTTCAAAGATAGTTAAATGACTTATGCCTAGGCACTATGGAAAAAATGGTGGACCCAAATTCATATTTAGTTACTTGATTCTAAACTCACCATTATACTATGCTCCCTCCTAGGCAAACTTCACACTGGATCTGCCCATAATGCATCAGCAGCAAACTAAAGATGTATATGCAGGCATTTCTTTCTAGCCAGGCATGTTCCTAAACTTGTGCAATTCAGAGTGCAGCTTGCAAAACTAAACAGCTGTCATCCTCCCAAAACATGCTTATAGGAAAGAGGGCCTGGAGAGCTTTTTACCTGGTCAGAAAGCTTCCTCACTTCCTCTAGAATGGAGGCAACAGGCCGACTCCTCTCCCGGCCACGTGTGAAAGGAACAATGCAGTAGCTGCACATGTTGTCACATCCCCTCATGATTGACCTGGGGAGGAAAGTACCAGAACTTAACTAACAGAAGCATGGTACCTTAGCACCTCCCAAAGAGCAGGTCACAGCTCCAACCTGATTATTCTTGGGCTCGGAATCTTCTTGTCTCTACAATCAAGCTGGACCATCTGAGATTTACGAAGCACTAAAGCAGGTACTTTTATCTTTAAAAACTAGTATACAGATTGGCATGGATACTTAACACACCTTTTAAGCTCAGCTGGTTGGGAAGCTGAAGCAAAGGATCACAAGTTCAAGCCCAGCCTGGGCAACTCTATCTCAAAAGTAAACAATTCTATGGGCCGGGGATTTAGCTCAGTGGTTCCAGCACCTGCCTCGCAAGCGCAAGGTCCCAAGTTCAATCCCCAGTACCAAAAAACAAAACAAAAAAAGTTAAAAATTTTAAAAGGGGCTAGGGATTAGCTCAGTGGTAGAGCACTTGCCAAGCATGCAAAAGCATCTGGGTTCAATCTCCAGTACTGAAAGAAAAAAAAAATTTAGCATCTAATCTCAGAACACAAACCAAACTATAAGCAGTGTACACAGTCCTCAGCTTGAAGAAGCAGAGTAGAAAGGGGATACAGGGCAAACCTACTACATATGGACTTTCTACTGTTTTTATGGGATTTTAAAAATTTTTATATCTAATCTAGATTATAGATAAATGCTTCTAGACCAGAAAAAAATAGCTCAGGTGTGGTGCCACCACTTGTAATCCTAGCACTCAGGAAGCTGAGACAGGAGGATTGTCCAGAGTTTGAAGCCAGCCTGGGCTACACTGTGAGTTCAAGGCCACCCTGAACTCCATAGTGTCAAAAAAGTGAGACAGTGACCTGGCCCAAAAAAACAAACAAAAAAAAGTTATGATGTGTTTCTGTGTGTAAGGGGAGGAGACCTTGAACACATAGGGTTCAGCATTTTTCACACATTCCTGATCCAACTGCTAGGTAACTAAATTAAATCCCCTTTTTTTTTTTTTGAGAGTCTTATTATGTAGCCCAGGCTGGCCTTGAACTCTACAATCCTCCTGACTCAGCCTCCTGAGTGCTGGACTACAGTATGTACCACCACACCCAGCTAAATCCCTCTTTCATTCCCATCCTATATATAAGAGCCTCAATTTATCTTTTTTTTTTTTTGGTAATTTATCTTAAGGAGCTAATTACAGCTATGTGTCAAAAATGTTCGCTGAAGAATTGTTAAACAAATGTCAGCTGTTATTTTTACTAAATATTTCAAAAAGAGAATGAAATAGCCATTAAAATGAACAGTTGATAGTTTTTCTATAAAAAAAAAATCTGGGGCCGGGGATGGGATGTAGCTCAGTGGTTCTGCTGCCTTCCTTGAAAGCACAAGGTCCCAAGTTCAATTCCCGGTACCAAAAAAAAAAAAAAAAAAAACCACCAAAAAAAAATACATTTATTAAAGCCTCAAGTATTTTTTTTTTTTTGGTACCAGGGATTGAACTCAGGACCTTGTGCTTTACAGGCAGGCAGCGGAACCACTGAACTAAATCCCTGGCCCTAATAAATGTTTTTTTGGTTTTTTTTGTACCGGGGATCGAGCTCGGAACCTTGCGCTTTCGAGGGAGGCGCCGGACTCACTGAGCTAAATTCCCGGCCCCTAATAAATGTACTTTTAATGAAAAAAATACTTGAGGCTTTGCAGGACATAGTCTGTTATGACTACTCAACTCTGTTGTTGCAGTGGCAAAAGCAGCCATAGGCAACATGTGAAAGAACGGTCATGGCTGTGTTCCAATAAAACTTTATTTACAAAATAGATGGTAAGATTATATTTGTCTCAATAAATACTTAAGTACCAAAAAAAAAAAAAGATGATAAGGGCCAAAGATTTAGCTCAGTGGCACCATGCCTGCCTTGCAAGCACAAGGTCCTGAGTTCAATCCCCAGTATGGCAAAAAAATAATACATGGTAAGACACTTGCCAACTTGTTATAAAAAATATAATGCTACAAGAAATATTCACCACATTAAGAAAAGATTACAGGGCCAGGGATTTAGCTCAGTGGCACCATGTCTGCCTGGCAAGTGTAAGGTCCTGAGTTCAATGCCTGGTACCACAGACAAAAAAAGATAACAAAACTAAGTAGAGCAAGAACCAATTTTCATAAATAAACACACATACAAAGCACACATGAATAAGCACAAAGGAAAAGTACATGAATGCTACACACCAAAATGGTGATAGTATTTATCACAAGGTGGTGGGAATACAGGTAATTCATCTTTTATTTGTTTGTGTTCTGTACTAAAAATTGAACCCAGGGCCTTTGCACTGAACTACATTCACAGTCCTTTTTTAAAATTTTTTTGTTTGGGCCAGGGATTTAGCTCAGTGGTGCCATGCCTGCCTCAAAAACACCAAGGTCCCAATACCGGGACTCGAACTCAGGACCTCACACTTGCCAGACAGGCATTGCACTGCTGAGCTACATCCTGGCCCCTCAAAATAAAAAATTTTATAAAGGACCGGGGATGTAGCTCAGTGTGAAGGCACACACACTCATACACACACATACCAAAACAAAAAAAATAACATGTTATTTCAAAGTGAGAAGGAAAGGAGAGGCTCACTCCCAAGTCTGGGCAGAGACTCACACGAAGGCAGAAGTGGCACTGGGGCTCGTCTGGACTGGCATGACATCAGCATAGGTCTCATCAAGAGACAGCAGCACATTGGCAGCTTGTTGTCCTGACTCCACAACAGCCAGCAACCGAGGAAGGTCCCGATAGGCGTCCGGACCGGCCAAGAGGTCCACCATTTTCTCCCTGCTGAGGATCTCCTCCTTCAGTCTCTCAGCCATGCAGCCTGGGAGGGAAAGGAACAAGCCCCTGTTTCCAAACTCACCTGGCTCTACTGCTTCTTCTCAGTAAGCATGATCTCTAGCTCGGATCAGAGACCAACACACAGAAAAGTTCCCATGCACTCAAAGTTTCCAGCTTGCATAACATACCCACCTTCTCAAATGCCTTTCAAGACATGAACCACCTTTTTCTCTCAACTGAAAATTATTAGCACAGCATGGTGGCACACGCCTATTATCTCAGCAGTCAAGAGGCTGAGGTACAAGGATCTCATATTTGAGGCAGCCTAGGGGCTAAAGAGCAAGGTCAAGTCCAGTCTGGACTACAAAGTCTCAAAAAAAAAAAGAATTATTCTTGTCTCAGGGCCAGGGATTTAGCTCAGTCATGCTGCCGCCTGCCTCACAAGCGAAAGGTCCTGAATTCGATCCCACGTACCAAAAAAAAAGAATTATTCTGGTCTCAAAAAAAAAAGGAATTATTCTTGGAGTCAGTGTGTTGGCACAGGGCCTATACTACTAGCTACATGAGAGGCTAAGTTGGGAGGATCCCTTGAGCCCAAAAGTTCAAGACCAGTCTGAGCAATATAACAAGGGCATGTTTCAAAAAATGTAAGTAAATAAATAATTTTTCTTGGTTGTACAACCATGTTCATACCAAGCAGTATTAGTCACAATACACAAAAGGTAGAAACAACCTGAGTTAATCAATAAATGAACGAATAAACAAAATAGTTTATGCACACAATGGAATATTATTCAGCCTTCAAAAGGAAGGAAATTCTGGCACATGTTCTAACATGTAGCATGTGAACCTTGAGGACATAACGCAAAGTAACATAAGCCAGTTACAAAAAGATAAATATTATATAATTACACTTATATGAACTACCTAGAAATTAATACTCATAAAGTAAAATGATGAATGCCAGGAACTGCAGGAAGAAATAATATAGTTAGCACTTACGGAGATAGATGGTGGTATGGTTGTAGAACAATGTGAATATACTTAATGCCATAGAATACAATAAGACTTAAAAATAATTGAAATGGGGCCAGGGATTTAGCTCAGTGGTGCCATCCCTGCCTTGCAAGCACAAGGTCCTGAGTTCGATCTCCAGTACTGGAAAAATAAATAAATGAATGAATGAATGAATGAATAAGTGAAATGATAGCCAGGCATGGTGGTACTAGTCTATAATTCCAGCACTCTGGAAAGCTGATGCATGATTGCAAATTCGAGCCCAACCTGGGCAACTTAGTACAAAGAACTTTGGTTCAATCCCCAGGTACCACCAAAAAAAAAAAAAATTGCCGGGCACAACAGCACATGCCTATAATACCAGCATTTGGGAGGCTGAGGCAGGAAGATCACTGTAAGAGACTGAGGCCAGCCTATGTTACATAGTGAGTTCAGGGCCAGCCTGAACTACATCATAAGATCCTGTATCAAAAAACCAAAA